GTTTACAAAGGCCTTGGCTACTAGTGCCTATATCACCTTGGGTACCTGTCATGATTGTAAGGATAAATTATTACGAGTTCCATGAAATATTACGTGTCTTAAAACGAAAATTATTTCTAAAGACTTTTAATGATTAGTTTTTTTCTGTGCCAACGTTTTCTTTATTCCATTAATGAGATACATTCTGGTACGTCGGAGGTCATGTGATGTACGATTTACTAATGTAAACAAACAAGCTTGTGCTGTGGTAGATGTGTTGAAAATTCGGAAAACTTTGTTTATTTTTAATTAGTTATGAAATTTGCATTTCATCTTTAATTATTATGGCATCTGTTAATTAACTGTTCATTCATTTGGTTAGTATAATTTCACATGCGTGTAACAAACCTACATCCTCGTCAACCAATGCTATTGATTCTCCTTTATTTTTCTCAACAGGCCGAGAGCTTTACAGCCGATTAAAAGTGCGAGGTATTATTGGCTCACCTTGTGTATATGAGGATAAGCATGAATCATAACAAATTATAGTACTACAAATATGTGCTGTTGCAGTACTACAGAGCATTGTGACAGACAATATCATGTGCATCACTAAAGCAAAACTGACAACTGGCAGTACTTCTTCTATATCAATAGCAAGTAGCAAACTATGTATGCGCAATGCCAATAATGCAAAGTATGATTATTATTTAACTTTCTCAATTCAAGTATTGGCCATTATGTTACAGCAGGTAATTTGATTTATTTTAAACTCTTTCATATAGAAAACAATATTAGTCTGTTCACCTTTTAAATCCATTCAAGACAATTATTTTATTGGTAAGATTTGTTAAGTGTCACATCAGATCTTAATAAATGGTCAAATTCCTTTTTCCAGTGACTTTAATAAAAGAACTAAAGTTGTAAGAAATTTAGCGAATTTTCAGTCACATCAAACATGCTAAGGAAATCTTGATTTGATACTGATCCCAATGCATAATTATACCTTAAATGAGTGAAGTCCACCAAAAGCTTGATGAAAGAATCATCAATAACTGATGATTATTTAAAGTAATTACAGCCTTAATGTAAAATGGTATTCAGGTCCCCGAGAACAAATTCTCTATTATCCACTATACTGCGGGGGGTGTCACTGTTACCAACAACTCATTGTTGTCTGCTTTTATACATAAAGGCAAGTTACATATTTATATAATTCTTTCTATAGCTAGAACATGTCAAAAATATATTGCTCACTTACAATGTATATATGAGACTTCAGATATACTACCAATATAAAATTTAACATCTTAAACAGAATTTAATGTAATAATTGAAATAAAAATTTTTAAGTTGTTTTTTCAGATAATGTTAAATAGAAAATTGTATGGATTTGCAAAACTGAGTTCGCTGTAATTCTAACTGTGAAATTAATAATTTTTTGGCCAAAGATATTTATTTTATTGTAGAAAGCGATTAAAAAATACTACATTTATGCGTATTGATTAAAACTTGATTATAACAGCCACATTATTAAAACACAACGTGATAAAATTAATAAAAAATTAGTGGTATATCATGTTCTATAGCATGGCAATTAATAAGAGAAAATTGGCTTGGTGTTAATGTTTTTGCAAATAAGGAAATCTTGCATGAATTCAACTATTTCAATAATTTAGAACAACTATTCATGAACTATTAACAAATATTTAATTTTAATGTTTACATTTTATGTTTGGAAAAAAATATTCAAGGTCTCGGGAACTTTTCAACTATTGTTATACACTTAAAATTCCTAATAAAGTAAAACATGAATATTGGTAAGTACTGTGCATCCCGTTAACTACTCATCGTATATGTCCCGTTTTTACTGCTCATCATAAAGTCGCCAAATCCCGTGTGCACCGGATACTAGGATTAAACCGGAAATTTATGAATCTTACCTCTTTTTCTGCAGAAATTTTCACAGCCGTTTTATAGTTGATTGTTTTCTTAATTTCTGTTTGAACACAGTTTGCTATAAGTACCTTACTATCTGGCATTACTTTAAAACAAATTCTATTCACATGTTTTTCCTTGAACAAAAGAAGACCTTTTTTATTAACATCAAGAAAAAAGAAATCACTTCCAAGAGTACTTTTTAATTTTTCGAAATAGCTGTAAATTTCTAAATTAGAAAAATAAATTACTTTTAGAGGCACATCTACTATAGACTCCAATGTAAACCGCGCACGTGGGGTGATTGTTGTTATTAAACCACGTGACCACTTTTTTCCTCTTCTTCTTTTGCGGAATGTATCTCATTTGTTTTGAGTTGTAGCTTTCGTTTTGGCTTCAGATGTAAACATAAATTAATTTAAATTTAAATGAAAGATTTGGAATCTTCTTTTTCAGAGTTCGGTATATGCTTCAGATCAGGGCAGGAAATATTTGTAATTAAAGTGTGCCAGGGATAAATAGAAGGGCTAGCTGATTTCTTTGTTCGACTCCTCGCCAACGCGAGCCTAATGGGGGGACGTAAGAGGCAATAATCTGACGTCACTGTGATGCCACCTGTCCTGATTTCCCGCGTTTAACACAGTAGTTTCATTGAGCTGCGAGACGATTTTCTAGAGGTTACATATCCCAAATTAATTTTAATAATATCTGTTTTCTAATAATGTATATATTTAAAATAATTTATATATATGTAATTTTAGTCAGTTTTTTATTTTAAATTCTATATTGTAAAGTATCGTTTACGTAATATGGCTTTTTTGCGCTGCAGTAACGTGCCGTAGCACTTACAGAAGTATGAAAGGATGAGATATTTTATTTCATGGGACCAAAGGATCCAAATGAGAGTTTGCTTTTGATGAAAGAATGGATACACAAATGTCAAAGAGAAGATTCTATTAATGTGAAGAGCGGAAAAGTCTGCAGCGAACATTTTCTATGCAGTGTTTATGAAGATATGAAAAATCGCTTGTTTGGATAGCCACAAAAAGAAACTGTTGAAATGGAATGCTGTGCCGAAAATAAATTATGATGACAATAATAAATCAAATTTTAATGATTTTGAAATAAAACTCACAAATGAAAATGTAGATCATCCTGAATGTTTAAGGATAAACAAGGATGCATTGATAATTTGAGAGAACAAAATAATAGCCTTAGAAAATTGTATTAAATTGTATTAAAGTATTGAAAAATAGAGAAAAGAAAAATATTAGAATGTTTGTTCAGCGACAAAGAAGGTGGACGGTATCTAGACAGAAATTGGTATCAGAAATTAAAATCTCAAATAGCGAAATTTGGGGGGGGGGAGCACAAATCGGAGAATTTGGAAAAATGTCTAAAGCCAATTTTTATAAAGACGCAGATTAATGCATTACTGAAAAAGAAGAAAAAAATCAGGTGGACTAATAAAAATATTTCACGTTGCATCGTCATAAGAGCTCGGTCATCTTAAAGATATGATTTTTGGAAAGAAAAAAAATTAAGAAAAAATTTGGAATATCTTTACCTAGTATTATAAAATTAAAGAAATGGTGTTTATTTTATTTTTTAATATTTTTTTAAATTTTAGTGTGGTCCAAGAATTCAAAGTAATGTTCTTACTCTAAAGTAGGAAAGAGGCGAATATTTGTATTCTGTAGAAAAAATATGCGTTCTCAGTTTCGACGAAATGCACATAGATTGAAAACTCTGCTATGACTCTAAACTGGACTAAGTTGGTTCTTTTCAAAATGTGCAGTTTGTTTTAATCAGATGTCTCATTTCGCGCTCTGCCTCAAATTACTGAAAAACCGCGTTTTAGATAGAGGATTTGTTTTAGAAGATGTAACTGTTTTAAATTTTGATATTATTAAAGAGGTTTTTAAATAGAGATTGAGAAGAAATCAAATTGTGTCACGAACTAAAACCAAATTATTTAATGGTCAAGGGAAGCGAGAGACAAAAAGTCGCTCCAGAGAAAGCATTATTTTCAAAAAGTACCGCAAAAGGTATACTCTACCCCACAGAAAATCAAAAAGCATCTGACTTCTATGAGTTAATCAATAATATCTTCGGTATTATGAATAGTACCAAAATAATACCAACAATAATAACAAGTATTTAACAAACTAATTTTGTTAAGTACTTGTTATTCTTATTGTATCCTTTGTAACTAATTATTGATTAGATTTTGTGCTAGATTAGCATTCTAGATAAAATATAATAGTGTAAAACATCAAAGTAATTGGCATAAAAAGACCTGCTTCCTTTACTCACACTTTTGAAAAATTAAATAACTGCTTTTTAGGTACTCTGAATAATAAAGCTATTTCGTCAAAATTAAGGTAACAATCTTATATACATTTATTTAATTGTAATATAGATATAAGTATAAATTACAAAATTATTTAAAAAAATATCTATATATTGAATCGGAAGAGAATTATAACAATGTAAAATTTACAATTAGGCAAAAAAATCAAACGTAGGTTAGCAGAAATGTTGCCATATATGTCATATATGTTTAAACCTATGTCAATGTAAAGTCGTTTTTTGAGTAAATTTAAATAGCTACTATTATAGTTATCTTAGAAGCAATATAAAAATTCTCTCAGTTAGCATGCAAATAAAGAAATGATTAGAAATAAACGTGCATGAAATAAAAAAAACCCACAAATAAAAAAAAAAAAAAACACGGAACTTTATGTTAAAAGAGTAGTACATTTTATCTATTTTTTTAAAATTGAGTAAGCATTATTAAATTCTTAATGGTTCAGTCTAAAATGCATAAAGCAGTAACATTGCCTCTTCCAAATTATAGCTATCTTTCACACACAGTTCATTTTAAATGCTGGTTCAAAAACGCTAATTTCCAAGCTGTGAATTATATTGGCGCGCTCAGTGTCATCATGGGTACGTCATCACTTCTCACTTTCTGCTTCAGGGGGAAAAGCTCTATGAGCTAGCCCTTCTCTTCTAAGTCCTGAAAGTGTACTATATTATTTCTTTCTTTTCTTTTCTCGGAACAATGATGATGTTCACAATCGTGCAGAAAGGCGTTGCATGGCAATGCACAACAGAAGTTTGTGTAAACTTTGAATTCAAATATTGAAACAGAGTGTCTGGAAGTGAATTCTCATACAAGAGAGCAGGAAAAAAAAAAAAAAAATATTTTATACTCTAAATTTAAAGGTAAAATGATTGAAGAAGCGAAAAAAGCAGGTATAGATGCGCCTGTTGAAGTGGAAAGCCAGTTTATTTTAAGATTACCGCCTACGCCTGCTGCTGCTTTAAGAGCAGCAGTGAGATCTGGTGTTATGAATTTAGAAGACAGACTCTCTATTCAATTAGAAGCTGATATGAGGAATTCTACAGTACAGTTTGATAAATGGACATTACCTGCAAAATTGTACGATTTGCCTACAATTATAGAATCATGTAAAACATTGGATCGTAAAATATTTTATAAAACAGCAGACATAAGCCAAATAATGATCGCTCATGAGGGAGATGCTGCGAAAAGCGATGAAGAAATTTCTCCTAAGAAAAAAGACAAAGATGCAAAGGATAAGAGGTATATTCTGCCCTATGGACTTACTCCTCCATTAAAGAATGTAAGGAAGAGAAGATTTCGGAAAACGCTAAAAAAGAAATATGTTGATTTTCCAGATGTTGAAAAAGAAGTTAAAAGACTTTTAAGAACAGATACTGAAGCTATAAGTGTAAGGTATGAGGTTGTGAATGCTGAAGATGAAAAATCCGATATCAAAAATAATGATGGTGTTGAGGGTCCATTATCCCTGGAAGAGAGAGAACTTAGTAATTCACAAGCTGCAGATGTTGCAGAATATGATATATTTGGTGAAGTTCTAAGCAGTTCAGAAGAGAGTGCTGAGGAAGATGATGTAAATGTTGTTGATGTTGCCGAGAAGCAGGCCAGTAGAAAGTTAGACAGTATCACTGAAGAACAGGAAAAGGGAGAAAATGTAGAGGAAATTAAATCTGATAAAGAAATAATCAATCTTTCAAATAGCATGCAGCTCAGTCCAGAGACTGCGGAGCAGTTCGAAGATCAGGAATATGGAAATGAAAATGACAGTATTGCTGTTTCACAGTTAGAATCAGCTACAGCGGGTGAGAATCTTGGTCAGTTATTGAAGGAACAAAAAACAGAAGAAGAGAGAATGGCACTTATGGAGAAGCTTGAGGAACTTGAACGTACTATTGCAGTCTTGCAAGATAACCGTAGACGACAGGAAGTAGAAATAATGAGTATAGAAAATCAAGCTCTCAAACAGAGGTTTCAAGCTAATATAAATCGCTTAATACAAAATGAGTATGAAATACAGATGGAATATAATGAGATATTTAGTATTCTTCAGGATAATTAAAAAGATTAGTGGCACTTCATATAATGAAGGGGAAGTATTAATATTTGTGACTCCTCATGAAATTTTGTAAGTAACCATGATATAAAAAATTTCCATGATCATTGTTAATAATTTGCATTTTAATAAATAGTAAAATCTTTCCTAATAATAAGTGATGGATTTTCAACATATTTGCAAAAAATTATAATTAATATTCATTTGTAATCTGTGCATTCTGTTTTTGTTCTGGGCCTCCATGAACAAATTTAAAATTTATTTTTATCGAACTTCCCGAAACTCATATATTATTTATGAATAAGTATATATATGTATGTGTATGTGTGTTAGTGTATATTTCTAATATATATTCATTTAATTGGTTTTACAAATTAAAATAATTCTGACTATGCATAAAACAAAATGAGTTTTGCATGATTTTTGATGATGCATGTTTATATGACTTTATTCTGTAAAGTAATGTTTTGACCTTGAGGAAATGCATGTCAGCTTTTTTTACTAATATAACTAGAAATGTCTTACTTTTGTATATGGCAAGTTTCGGTTGATCTTTACATTATGGTAACTTGGCGATTTTTTGGCGAAAATTTGGCAACCAACTCTCCTACAGCAACCCTCTATTTTTTTCTCCCCGCCGCCATTTTGTCTTCACGAAGTAAAGACATGTTTCTTTTCTTTTTATCTACTGAACACTTCTTCCAACAATCTACTAGCCGAATTACACTTATGCTAGAAATTTTATCAAACAAAACTGCTTAATCATGACAAATATTCACTGCAAAATTGGGAAAAAGTGCACAATACCATACTCCTTACGCGTTTTTCAAAATAACACATACACATAAACCATGTACACACAGACTTATTTTTACTTAAAAAAACATCCCAGAATTGCACAAAAATGGCATTGCGCACACTCTTCACAATATCCATGTACACTGCTTTTTTCTCATAAATTAGAAAAATTTCACGAAAATACATGACAATTTTCTCAATCTTTAAACCCGGTAAAAAGAACATATATGAAATTACCTGATCGCGAAAAAGTATTTACCCTTTCCAAATATGAACATTTCCACATATAAAATAAATAAAAAATCCAAAAACTTTTACCTCTAAATCATCTATTATATTATAAACGTCACCAACGAATTCATACCGCAACCATTACAAATACTTAGTGTCAGATATTTAAATTATTTCCTATGCACGTTTACTTCAACTAAAACGTATACCAAATTCCTACACACATAAAATTCACAAAATAACTATCATTTCATTAAAATATAATTAAATTCAAAAACACTACTTAAAATATAAATGAGCACATACATTAAATTAATAAAAATTACCTTACAATCCTAATTACTTTAAACTAAATCATTGCTAATAAGAATTTTCCCAATAATACCAAATTCCTTTCCACCTTACATTTAGAACAATGCATAAAAATAATATCCTCAAATAATTAAAAATACTAACTTACCTAATCTTCTTCAGAATCTTGATTACGTGGCGGATACACTTTTCTAATTCATTCAATAAAATTGTTGAAAGATTTTTTCTGCGAATTTTTCCTCCATACTTCCACCGCTAAATAAAAAGCAAACTTCTCTTTATCACAATGCCTAAATACCCATTTCGAATTCACTTTAGTTAGGGCCATGGGATCCAAAAATTAACAAACACTGTTTCACACAATACAGAATAAAGCTAAATACAAAATTTCCAGATTTTTTCCCGATTTCCCCCCCTTTTCCGATTAAAGAACCGTAATTCGTCCATTAATATCACATGACATATCCCATGATCTCTCATTTCCCTCACGCAAAATAATGCGTGATCGGAACTGAGTACTGCTCACATTATTACCAAAGTCCCAGGTAGTAACCTTTATCGCCTCCAAAATGTCGCCAAACTACCAGTTACCATATTGTAAAGATCAACACAAGTTTCTTGTTCCAAATATGAATTAAACTTTTAGAGTCGGTAAACATATATTTGTGAAGCAGTGGAAAAAATGAGAACAGTAAATAATCATAGCAAAATTTATTTTTTAAGATCTTGATATATAGTAACTTTGTTTTGAAGATATGTTTTGTACTATCAATAAATGTTTTACATCTGTCTTTTTTATACATTAAAAATATATAATCTTAGCGTTTGAAGATTATGATTTAAGAAATTCCGTGCAGTATTATGATTAATTAAATGCAAGATATATTCTTTAGATGCAAAATTTAATTTTTTTTCTTTTAATTCTAAACAAAGTCAGGAAAACAAAAATTTTATTACACATAAAATAACAGCATTTTTCTTTAACACTAGCAAAATTATCCTATATTTTGCTTGTTTTAACAGTTTGTGAAATTGGTATTCTACTTAATTTACCTCTTACAGTTCGGGAATTGCTTCATTTATATTCTTTAAACATTTCTTCATAATTTTGTTAAATACATGCCCTGTAGAAAATTGAATTTATCTGCAGATTTAAGATGAATTTTTTCCACTACTTCTGTTGAATTTAAATAAATTTTTATGAATTTTCTATTAATGGATGCTTGAAAATATCTTAAACCCCAAACATTGAGACTTATTTTTCATATATCAAATTGCTACATATATCTTTAAATCTTTTCTTAATCCTAATTGCTGCATACATTTTTAAATCAGATGTACTTTATTTTTCAAAATAATTAGTTTTTAAATTTAAGGATTGTGCATGAAAAATCTACCATGTTTTTACTGTCATACCTGCAGTTAGTGTGAAAGAGTGTTAGGTAAACCAGTGTATGTGATCTAATGCTTTTAGTCAGTTATTTAATTTTTAACTAAACTAAAACTGGTTGTTAGTATAATCATTTATTTTTCCCTCCATTTATTGCTTGTTTGAATTTAAAAGTAGCATTTTAGTAGTAACATCTAATAAATAAATCACTAAACATGGTAAATCGCATATTTCATGATTACTGAATATTAATCTCATTTGAGGTTTGCTGTATTGATAATTTTACTCATTTTGATAGTAGAGAAAATACATTTAAAAAATTTTTAAATATTTTTGCCTTTCAAAAAAAAAAAAAGGGGGGGGGGAGGGGACACTGCCTGACACTCCTGTAATGCTTGTCTTTTCTATAAAACCTGTGTCAGTCATATTAATTTTTGCCTCCTCTCAGAAAAAAAAGTAAAAAGAAAATCACACATTTTTTAAAATTTCTATTAATTTCACTCTTAAAATGGTTTGGATTATTTAAATCATGACAAAGAGATTTTAGAACTGCCTGGCTATGGAAAAGGAATGATTTTCTAAGGAACACTGTACCATGTTCATATTACATGTGAGGAAAGTACAGAGAATATATCAGAAGGCAAACTTGTCAATATTTTCTGGCTATAGCCACTAGGGAACTTCTTTTCTCCTTAAAATAGAATTTTTTAATTTTTAATTTCTTAGCATTTAGTAAGATGCAATGAATCCTGTTTCAGTTCTAGAGTTTATGTGAAAGCTCTTCATGCCAGATCTGTTACTGCACTGAATTAAAAATGCATTTGCTGTTTACTGTAAATCAGCTAAAACTTATGCTTTGCTTTTGCTTAAAAATCAAAGGATGATATTTTTCTTAAAATACTCAAATACTGTAAATAATAACCATCTTATATACTAAAGGTAAGATTTAGGAAATTCATTAAAAATAAATAAATGGAAAAAAAACTGAAAAGGCAGGTTTGCCATGCTACCTGGAAAACCGGGAAAAATTAGGGAATTTGAAAATTGACCAAAAAAGTTTTGAAATTTAAATATTTTAGTCAAAAATCTAGAAAAATCAAGGAATTTCATACAGCAATTAAAAAAAAAAAGCAATTTTTGCGCCGTTGGTTCTTGGTTAATGTTAATTGTATATCACATGAGCGATATTCGGTTTGCTGGCGTAGAGCCAATTTCGCAGCGCCAATCAAATTGTCTTTTAGAAAGGCAAAGCAAGTTTCCAGCATCTCTGGTTTCTAGTAACCTCAAGAATTCAGAGAATCACATGTGCATGTGCAGTGTATGTTGAGCGAAAGTAAATCCCACCATTCTTGTATAAAACAAAATTGTTTAAACCTTTTCTTCTTTCTTAAATGCCTTATTTGTCATTCTGCAGTAAAATAAAAAAATTAGTCATCTACGCTAACCATTTTATATATCCATATTCACCAAAATACCGTCGATTTTAATTCAGTTTTGTAATCCTTAAGTAATTTATTTTAATGTTATTCATATCATTTAATCTGTCCCCTCCCTTTAAACTTATTTATTATTAGTTAATGATACTTTCAAATTTCAGGCAATTTTCTCTGTCATACTTATAAAACTATTTCTAGCAGTATGATGACCAATCATCACAAAAATTTAGTGCACATATTTTTTACTTATGTATTCATTCCACTAAATAAATATAAAATACTTGAATTTGAAATATCATTAAATAGATTTCTTTCTTCCTTTAGCTGCAACATGTCTACAGAAAAGACATTTTTAATCCTGATTGTCCCGATTCTAATCTCAATCCTCTGTGGAGAAAACAGCAACTAACAAAGTTATAAAAGTAATAACATGTGTATGAAAGTATGATTTAAGGATATGTGTATATATATATACATATGTAATTAGAAAATTTTTGTATTTTCATGTGGTACCGTAATTAATTTAAGGTCAGCACAGCCAACGCGCATTATGCAGATAGCCTGGAATTTTCTTAAAACACACCTGAAAAACCTGGAAAAGTCAGGGAATTTTATTCTCCTGTTTGAGTGGCAACCCTATGAAAGGCTTCAGATTTTAATGGTCGTCAAAAGCATTTGTTAAGGTTTTTTATGCTCTGGCTGAACTCACAGTCTACCAGTCAGCTTTTGCACTCACTTCTGCTAGCTTTTTTTTTTTTTTTTTTTTTTTTTTTCATTTTAGCTGTATTATTTATTATACATTATTTTCTTCACAATGATGCCACATACAGTTCAATAGCAAAATCACAAAATTTTTAAAAGCAGCATACTTTTGTAATTCCCGATGCAGTGTGAAGTGTTGGCATGCAGTTATATATGAGTATATTTTTTTAAGTCTTTTCTCATATCATCATATCATATCAATGTTCAGTTTTCTTAGTCATCGTAGCTATGCCACATGAAATTCAGTTCAATAGCAAAATCCCTAAGTATTTAAAATAGCATATCTTTAGAATTCCCAATAGAATATCAGAGGTTGCCATTCATATTTTTATAGTTGCTATATTATTTCTTTAAAAGCTAACCATTTGCCTGATTTGCCTAACATAGCTATCATCAAAAAGAAAAAGTATGTAATCATTTCAATGAGTTCAGCTATTATAAGTTCATAAAAATATTAAATATTCCTTATAAATAACATATCATGATTTTAATGCATCTCTTTATTTAAAGCAATCACATTAAAAATAGAAAAAAATATTCTTAAAAATTGTTTATTGCTTTTAAATTTCTTAGTTTATTACTCAATAATATTGCCAGATTTGAATATTATTGAGATATTTGAATAGACATTACTGAATGGCAATCATTTATTGATGAGGCTCTACTGAATGGCAACAAGCTGAAGATAAAATTATTTTATTTCTGGCTGCAGAAGCACATTTCTTTCATAGAGCAGAGTTTGTTATTTAAAACTGTGAGTTAAATATTTTTAATTTTTCCAAATGGCAGTAGTCTCGAGCACTGGAGATAAAAATGTTTTATTTAGAAGATTGCTGCCCTGCTCGCTTTCAAGTCAACAAATTTGTAATTAAAATTTCATTTAAGTTTTACAAAATAAATAATAAAACATATTAAAAATTCAAGCTTTCAGGTGCACATGTTTGGGTGGAGGACTAAATTATGTAAAATACCATCATTTACTCGTCATTAAAATACTCTATATACCATCGTTAAAATTATATCATAAAATAAAAATAATCTTGGTTGTGTGTAGCTGAAATTTTGAATAAGATTTAACTAATTTAATTAATTGCACAACACCTATATGCAAGCTGGCCACTGTTTAAAAATGAAAATACAGAAATATTCATAAGGTTGTCCTGCCAGATGCTTAAACCTTTATGCAGATATTCCCGCTAAAAAAAGTGCTTTGTAAAAGGATGCAATAATTATTATGTAACTAGAAACTAATCTGCATAAGGATGTAGGCTCTTTTATGCCAAGAGCACTCATAAAGGTTTTTTTTTCTTTCCATATGAAAGCTGATTTACACAATGGTGCCGATACCATTATGAAGCAGTCCCAATTATAAGTAGTGTGTGAAATTTTAGAACCATCCTTTTATTTAGTAGATTTAAAATATGCATGTTACATAGGTGTATGAATTCTAAAATTTTACAGTTCTAGTTTTTAAATGCAGGAAATACAAAATAGTGCTAATTTTATTTATTGATAAAATTTCCTTTAGGCATCTTGCTCACAACTTATTCATATTGACTGCAATGTATGTGCTTTATAATAATATATATTATTATGCTTAGTTATTGCATTATATTTGATTCATGCACAGTCCAATTTTCGTTGTTTCTTTGAATGATAATTAATCCATTGCATTTATGCAACTTTCACCAAAATGAAGAGTAGGAATAAAAGGTAAGCATCTGAACTATCTCTTGCATTATTTTCTTATTTTTTAATAATATTTTTCTTTTTCAAATACAGTACAAAGTCTTTAATCCAGACTTCAAAACTGCAAAGTTTCTGCGAATGCGTAAACACATGTGCGTTTACGCATGCGCATAATACCTTTATGCATGCGCGTTTAATGTATAACGGACAGTATAAGCTAGGCTAAAATGATCTAATTATCTATTTCAGTTAATGTTGCAGATTGTGTTGTTCCTTAATCTTCTAATTGGATCTGGCTTTTTTTTTTTTTTTTTTTTTTTTGAGTTTCTGATTCTGGAGCTGCTGAAGGATCTACAAAGTGAAAGCTTGTTTCGATGTCAATGAAACAAAAAGTGGGACTGCTGAAAAAAATGGATAAAGGCGTGAAGAAAGTGACAGAGAGGTTAGTGAAAACGAAAAAATTTCGATTGATAAGTTAGTCGGTATTCTCGGCACAGCAATTACAGGACTTGAACAGTGAAACTTTGTAACTGAACAAGAAATTATGTCCGTTTATAGAATTAAAGAGAAAGTATTAGCACATAAAATGAAGCAACTTAAACAACTTGCATTGAAAGAAATGTTTAATAAAGTAAACAAATAAATATTGAGCTTTTTTATATAAATTTTGATACCCTTTAGATCATAATTGCTATGTATTTCATAAATTACAGTTTCATACTTTTAATTTAATAATTTCTGCATGCCATCTTACTAGATTTAAATTGATGATCTATAATCCAGAATCGCAGAAGTCCCAATGAGTCCGGATTAAAGACTTTGTACTGTAATAAATTGCTAAATTTATATCAAGCTGAATCAGCAAATTTAAAATATGATATAAATCAATATACATAAGAAAACATAAATATGTTAGAATCTTTGTAATATAAATATTATTTTTTATAATTCATAACATTATTTTCTAATATTCACTTATATTATTGTATATATTGTATTACAGTGTTTGCTTTTAGTAGTTTGGTAGAAAAGAGGTCTGTTATTTCATAAAATATTTCTTTTACACTTGAAATATATCTAGATAAAGTATTAGTTAAAAAAAAAAAAAAAATCTTTTGCTTTGATACAAGAAGTAGATTCTGAGAAAGCTGATTTGTGTTTGCCTAAGCAGATGACATGGATCATTAAATAGAAAGCAGTGGTCATCATAATAATCAATCATTTAAATAACAACTACATATTCTATATGTTCAGCTTGAAGTTCTTGCAAATGAAGATAATGGAATTGATGAAAAAATGTATAATAGAAAACAAAAATCTAAAAAAAATATATTATTATTATTTAATTTTTTAATGATAGAGAAACAAAAATTCTAGATATCCTATTAGCTCCATAAATAATATTGCAATGCAAAAAATTCACTGTTTCTCTGTGTAGAAAAATTGTTCAATGAATCAGCAATGAAAATTTATACTGATATTTTCAGCTTGTTTTTTATGTTTCAAAAAAGTTCTAGAAAATAACTAGTGCTGTGGAATTATTTTACCTGCTTCATATTTGTGCTTTAGAAAAAAAGCTTTCTTTGATTTCGACTACTGTTTTAAGCTCTCTGATTTAATTGGAAACTGTGTTTAGAACATTATGACTACAAACTTCCTGCAGGTGACTGGTGCAAGAGATGAAGAGCTGGTGCTAGGCCGTTTTCACTGCCTGATGCAATCACTTCCACCCAGTAACTACCCAAATTTCGCTGCCCAGTGTAGCTGCAATTGTTGGACACACTGTGGTGCTGGCCCTGAACAGATGTTAATTCTGTTCATCAGTTTATTGAAAATCAGTCAGAGTTCTGACATATCCATTTCACAGTGCATTATACAGTTATAGTATCCTTTCAGACTACAGCATTCATTTCTAATCTTCATACTTTTAACATAGGTTGTGGGAAAGCATAGAATGGTTATCTGCCTAAGGGAATATATGTCTTTGTCAAGAATCTTTTAAAGGAAAACTGGTTCATATTCGCATTACACATGGGGAAAACGGCTAAAGCCTTCCATGCAGCCAGCTCTTTCACCTGGATTAAACACTCAGAACTACTACAGTAGTCTTTAGCCACCTAGCAACTGATGGGGCTGCCATTTATTATGTGAGAGTAAAGGAGGTCTCCTTTTGGATGTAAATTATGTCATGTGTTTTAACCTTTTTGTCTGGCTTAGTAGCTGAGAACAACTTCGGGCAAAATTGCCCTGTTTAGATGAATTTCTGTTAGACAAAAAGTTTATAAAGTAAACTTATTGCATCACTATAAAATTTTATTGCTTAATATAGATGGAGCTTTCGAAGTATTAAAAGCAGAAATTTCTTCTAGTATTCAGCCAGGTCTAATTACCAACATTCAATGGCTTTGATCAGCAGCTACTGGTGAGGTTGATTTTTTTAAAATAGGTATTTCAAGGTCCCAGCTTCCTTCCTGATTATAACTATGAAATATGTCATAATCCTGACATTATACTAATTTTGTTTGGGAATACATCATACTAATTTCATTCAAAGTATATTTAAGTCATTCATTATCAGTGTGTTTTATTCTTTCGCTAATGTTCTTATGCCGACACATATCCCAATAATATGCTAAAATAGGCATCTTAATTTTTCTTCTGGTATATGCAGTGTTATTGTTTAACTGATTGGGAATAAGACAACCTCTTTTTTAACTAAGTTTCATAATTTTATATAAATACAATTCATAATTGATTCCGTTTAAGAATAGAATTGAGGTTTAAACTTAAGTTTGCTATATAAATAGCTAATAATGCTATTGCTTCAAATCATATTTAATTGCATTGAAACTTATTCATTTAATTAAAATAAAATATGTAAAATAAATTAACTTCTAAAGTTTAGTAATTTATCCAGCTTGTTTTTTATTTCTAATTTGATACATTGTGTGAAAAATTATTGAATTGGTAC